CGGTTAGCATGAAGCTGACCATTAAAATAAGAATATGCATCAGCTTCGATTTCTCTAAGCCCTTGAACTTCATCCAAATCAAGTGTAGAGTATCTATTAATGAATTACATATTCATCAGTAAGATTTTGCTTCACAGCTAAAATTATATGTATATCTAAAAGGATTGTTACTTTGGGAGTATAACTTCAACCAAATAGCCCTTTCCTTGGAGTGCAGAAGACAGTCCTGTAACATATGAAGCCAAAGGTCCAACAGAAACTAGTGGATCCATTTCGGTGCAAATATGAATCACGTGGAGGCCATTCCTGGAACCAAGCATAAAATTCAAAATCTAGACTTAAAGGAATGAAGATAAACTAAACTAGAATTATTCACCTTTTGCCTTTATTTGGGAACCGTCTAAGTTCAGCTAGAACTTGTGGATCTCCCTGTTGCAGGACATCAAGAGGAAACTCAGAGATGTTCCCTTCATGCTCCCTAACACGTTGTCTCATGGATGAAGCTTCTTCAATACCAATCAATCCATTGATCACCATTGAATCAATACGGAGAAGTAACTCCCATAATAGAGCTGACTTATCTGCTTGTTAAAAAAAAAAAACAGAATTCAAAAGACTAGTAACACTATCACATCACACACATTAATATCTAATAAAAATAAATAGAAACCTTTCTTGATTACTGTCTGACTTTCTGCTTCTAATTGCTTTATCTTCTCTAGCAACTCAGTTTTCTCCTTCTTCAGCTTCTCTAACTCCTCAACCGCAGCTAGGCGTTGCTTGTTTAAGTAAAGGATATCTAAACACACAACAATAACAATATATGTCATCTCCAACCTCACTCTAACAATATTTCAAACCCTACTCTATATTTTTCACTTTATAACAGAATAAAAAATGGATTTACTCATCTTTTTATTCACCACTCTATTTTTTACTCCTAAAATAGAGCACCTGTGAATATAATGATCTATTGGAGATGGTCTAATACAATCTCTGAGTTAGCTTTCAAAATATGAAAAAAAAAAAAAAAAAATTTACTTTGTTGAGCTTCTCTAAAGAGGCTCCATATGTCCTTTTGTTTATCTTCTTTTACAACAGAAGACACTCCAAGTTTGTCCTGTAAACCAACCAAAGTTATGTTCTGTAATATAATCAGACAAGATTAACTAAAAAAAATACTAACCTGAGAATTCTCAAACTCATCGTTCCCTTCTGATCTGTAACGAATAATACATTAAAAAATGTATTTCAATAATCAATGTTGCTCTATTAACATAAAGAGTTCGAAATCAACCTCAGACAGTTAAGCGCGTGAGCCTTACGATGCTTAAGGTTCACTAATTGAACTTTCGAGGATGAACCAAGTGGCGATAAGTTCCATATCACCGGAAAATTCGCCGCTGATTGCATCGTTTGCAGAGTTTGAGTGACTTCGGCAAATTTTGCCGGTGAACGACAAGACAGAAAAAAAAAACAGCCGGAAAGTTTTATTACATAAAAAGCTCTAATATACCCCCACTATTTATTATTAACTTCAACATTGGCCCAAAAACTATTGTTACTTCCAAATTTCACCCCGCGCGAAAATTAGAAGCCAAGGCGGAAAAAAAAGATTCCGTTATTACTTCTAAAGCCCAATTGATAAGCCCATTTTATATATTTTTGCCTTCGCTCAAATGCAATACCATCCTATTTTCACTAAATGTAACTTTGTTTTTAGTAGTCTTGTGATGTACAGTACAAATGCAACACAGTTGTAACAGAAACAAAAGCCCAATCTGACACCATTAGGCATTAGGCCTAACTATATCTTGCAAATGAAAAACAGACATGTGATAATATATTACAGAAAATCTTCAAAACGTGTTTCCTCTCTCTGTTTTTCTGTGTGTTTCACAATACCCAAAAAGTATACATTTTCAAGTTTTATGCTAAGGAGGTAGCTCGTAGAGATAAGTTATGGGGATCGTTTCACTGGACCATATTTAAGTCCGTGATGGTCGGACTCAGAAACAGAGCGGTGATGTGAAGATGACATTGTTTATGGTCCCATTTTCACTTTTATTGGGTACTATTTTTCACCTTTCAGATGGACCACTCCAAACAAGCAAACATGCTTTTGTTCTATTTTATTTTCAATTTCAAACCAAAAGAAAATACAGAGAACTTTGTTGATACTTTCTATTGGTTTTTTTTTTTTCATCATGCGTCGCTTTCACTGCATGTTGTCTCTATTATTACATGGTTTTATAAAAAGCTAAACATATCCATTCCCAAATCTCTTATTTGTGCTCATGCTTATGTCTCTCACAAAACAATACACTTTCAAATTACTAACTTTTCTAATATAAATCAACACTGGTTCTTGAGCTTCATTCATTAATCTTGGTTCCAACAATGAGATTTCACATAATAACATCATTAGCAAAAAGCTAAAGAGACGGTATAATTATTGTATTTATCTTATATACTATTAGTCAGAATCATCTTTTGGAGAGTAAAGATCTGAATCATTGTATTTATCTTATCTACTATTAGTCAGAATCATCTTTTTGGTGACTAAAGATTTGAATCAAGATTGTGTTAGTAATAAGTAAAAAAGCAAAAACTAATACAGTAAGAATCCTTATAGAGATGTGCATTTAAGGAGACAAAAAGGAACGCTACACGAGACGATGCGATTAGAAAGAATAAACAAAAGCTTAGTAATGGATACAACGTGCTTCCATGGTTGGATAAATGTATCTTTGGAGCCTTTGGATTCTTCTCTTATTTACTCTCTCAACCCAATGTTTCCTACTCTTTATGCTTCAACCAAGTATATACTAGTATTTTCAAGTTTACTTAGTTTTCAGTTTTCAAGGAAATTTTAAAATTAAAATGTTGGAAATAGTGAAGAGATAGATAGCTAAGTATAAAATCAGAAAACGAATCTCCTTAAGTACCTACTTCCCTCAACTTTTCTCATCAAACCCACTAAGTTTCTTACATAAAGTTACATTCACACATGCTCACCATATCTGATTTCATAATGAATAACTTTTCCGGATATGGTTTGTGGCTTATTTTAGATAATTATTGACGTTTATCCTCCCTAACCACGTCTAAAAAGAAGATGACAACAACTTAATATTCAACTATGCTTACGTTAAAATCAATATTTGGTCAGCTGTCTAGTTTACATGCAATGTTATAAAGTTTTGCTACTATTTTACCTAGTGTTTGTTTATCAAATGCCATTTATGTATAAATAATATATAGATAGATCAGTGACAGTAAACTGTAGCAGCTGGCGTTGAAACGTCGTTAGCTGGATTACTTCCTAGTGCCTCCTTACCACAAGTCAATTTACCGTCATATCCTTAGTCTCCTCTCTTCAGACTTATGCATTAGCAAACGAATCAGGATGTTTACGTCATTTAATATTTTCTCCGAAACCGACAACGTCTGGTTTGGTAATTCTTCTCGCAATGCAACGACCAGTCCATTAAAGTTCAAAGCCTAAGGTGTAATTTTTGTCCTTTTCAGTCAAACTAAATGGCCAATTTGGTTATTTTCTATTACCAGCAATATTATTACTTTTTGATAATTATCAATCATTTACAATTATCTTTTTTCATGTAGCTTTTCCAATTAGTAATTACACATTTTTGGATAAAATGTGAATTTATTCTAAAACATATTTTCGTCGTATATTCTTTATAAAAATATATCGTAAGGTTTCAGAGATGAATTCTATTTTTTTTGTTCACCTCAGAGATGAATTCTATTATGTGATATGAATCATATGGTTTTATATATATGTGTACGTAATACGGTTACAAATATCACATTTTATAGTTATTTTTCTTTATGTAATAAAACAGAAAATAATAATTATAGTAAACGATGGCATTCTAATTTGTAACGTGGAAAGGAACATATAAAAAAAAGAAAAACATAATAATTCACCATCCATTGATAAAATAAAAACAATAATTAACTTATATGATTTTGGACACAGGGGCCCAACACATACGGCCCAGTTACTCTGAAAACTTCTCGCTTTACAGAGCCGGTCCTACGATTGGCAAACTTTTTGACTTAGCCATCGGATGCCTTTGGAATGATTGCATCTGAACCGTTAAAGCATTATTGGGTTTATCGCTTTAAAGCATCATTAACTTACGTATGGGATTAAACGATCTTTTTAAGCTTTTGTCGTTTTCCTATAAAACCATAAGTTTTAAGAATATTACCTGTCCCTGTTTGTTCTCCTGTGTGATTTTTGTTTTATTTGGTCAACAACATTACTCTGTTTATGTGAATTATTAGAAGAATGTATTAAAAGAAATGTAGTCGTATAAATGAGAAATTATATCAGTTTTTTGTCAATACTTGGTCTTGGAGAACAACATGTTTCCAAAACAAAATAAATGAACCTTCCCTAATAATAGTATATTCTCTATCGTACAAGTTATAAAGTAGTGTATTCATTTAGTCTAAACGTAAGCGTTCGAATCTTTGATATATTTGTAAAGTTTACTCTGATTAGACATAGGTTCACGGAAACCTTTTCATTTTAAATAATATTTTAAAATTTATTTTTAGATAATATTTTCAAATTTATTTTTATCTGGTATTTTAGACCTTTTCTATTTTATTATATGATTTATATTGGTTGTATTAGCTTTAATTAATATAAAAATGAATAAAAGTTAAACTTTCTTAATTAGTTTGGAAATACCTTAATTAAACACCAGCTAAAGTAGAAAAAAAAAAGAGAAAGAAGTTTAACTTGATCATAATATCATTTATTTGTTTATTAATCGATACTCGTGTAAATTTCGTTTATCTACCTCCAATAATTATGATTTACTACCTTTAAAAATAGAGTAATTTAATAATAGAGAAAATCCGACGTGGCAGAAATCTCCTTTGGTCGGAAAAAAATATACACTTCGGTAATAAAAAAGATATTTCAAAATAAAGTTAAAAGTTTACAATTATAAAATAAAATCACTCCCTCCCCAAACTTCTTCTACTTCTTCACTTACCCTCACCAGTCACCACACTAACTTCCCAACCCTAATCTAATCTCTCACAGAGAACAGACTCAGAGAGAGAAAAAAACAATGAAGCTTCTCCTCCTTCTATTATTCCTCCTCCACATTCCCCACTCCTTCACCACCGCCCGCCCAATCTCCGAGTTCCGAGCCCTCCTCTCACTCAAATCCTCCCTCACCTCCCCCTCCCCCTCCCCTCTCTCCTCCTGGAAACCAACAACCTCCTTCTGCACATGGACCGGCGTCACGTGCGACATCTCCCTCCGTCACGTGACATCCCTCAACCTCTCAAGCCTCAACCTCTCCGGCACCCTCTCCCCATCCATCTCCCACTTCCCTCTCCTCCAAACCCTCTCCCTCGCCGACAACCAGATCTCCGGCCCTATCCCCCCGGAGATCTCCCACCTCTCCTCCCTCCGCCACCTCAACCTCTCCAACAACGTCTTCAACGGCACCTTCCCGGACCAGATCTCCTCCGGGCTAACCAACCTCCGCGTCCTCGACGTCTACAACAACAACATGACCGGAAACTTACCTCTCTCCGTCACCAACCTCTCCTCCCTCCGTCATCTCCACCTCGGCGGGAACTACTTCTCCGGCTCCCTCCCTCCTTCCTACGGCTCCTGGCCTGCCATCGAGTACTTAGCCGTCTCCGGGAACGAACTCACCGGAAAAATCCCCCCGGAGATCGGAAACCTAACCTCTCTCCGGGAGCTTTACATTGGATACTACAACGCCTTCGAAGACGGTCTCCCTCCCGAGATCGGAAACCTGTCAAAACTTATCAGATTCGATGCAGCGAACTGCGGGTTAAACGGAGAGATTCCCTCCGAGATCGGTCGTCTCAAGAGACTCGACACTCTTTTCCTCCAAGTTAACGTCTTCACGGGACCGTTAACTTGGGAGTTAGGAAACCTCTCGAGCCTAAAATCGATGGATCTCTCCAACAACATGTTCACTGGAGAGATTCCGAAGAGCTTCTCGGAGCTCAAGAACCTCACGCTTTTGAATCTCTTCAGAAACAAACTCCACGGGGAGATCCCGGAGTTCATCGGAGAGATGCCGGAGCTCGAGGTGTTGCAGCTTTGGGAGAATAACTTCACCGGAAGTATACCGGAGAGATTGGGAGAGAACGGGAGGCTTCAGCTAGTGGATCTCTCTTCCAACAAACTCACGGGAACTTTACCGCGGGGGTTGTGTAACGGTAAAAAGCTGGAGACGTTAATTACTTTAGGTAACTTTTTATTCGGTTCGATCCCGGAGTCTCTGGGTGAATGCGAGTCTTTGACTCGGATCCGAATGGGTGAGAATTTCTTAAACGGGTCGATTCCTAAAGGTTTATTCGGGTTACCGAGGTTAACTCAAGTTGAGCTTCAAGATAATTACTTAACCGGGGAGTTACCGGTAACCGGGAAAGTTTCGGTTAATCTCGGTCAGTTAAGTTTATCAAACAATCAACTCTCCGGTTTTTTACCACCGGCGATTGGGAACTTCACCGGCGTCCAGAAGCTTCTCCTAGACGGTAACAAGTTCGAAGGTCCGATTCCTTCTGAAGTAGGGAAGCTTCAGCAGCTATCCAAAATCGATTTCAGCCACAACTTGTTCTCCGGTAAAATCGCGCCGGAGATCAGCCGTTGCAAGCTGTTGACGTTTGTAGATCTGAGCCGTAACGAACTCTCCGGTGAGATACCGAAGGAGATAACCGGTATGAGGATTTTAAACTATTTGAATTTATCGAGAAACCATCTTTTTGGTTCAATCCCCGGTTCGATCTCGTCGATGCAGAGCTTAACCTCTCTTGATTTCTCTTATAATAATCTCTCCGGTTTAGTTCCCGGAACCGGTCAGTTTAGTTACTTCAACTACACGTCGTTTTTAGGGAATCCTGATCTTTGTGGGCCTTATCTCGGCCCATGTAAAGACGGAGGCTCTCACAGTAGTCATGGTAAAGGTCCCTTGTCTGCTTCTATGAAGCTCTTGCTTGTTCTTGGACTACTTGTTTGCTCCATTGCGTTTGCGGTTGCGGCGATAATCAAAGCGAGATCTTTAAAAAAAGCGAGCGAGTCACGTGCTTGGAAGTTAACAGCTTTCCAGAGACTAGACTTCACGTGCGACGACGTTTTGGACTCACTCAAAGAAGACAACATCATAGGCAAAGGTGGAGCTGGGATAGTCTACAAAGGCGTCATGCCTAACGGTGATTTAGTCGCGGTTAAAAGACTCGCTGCGATGTCTCGTGGCTCTTCACACGATCACGGCTTCAACGCGGAGATTCAGACGTTAGGGAGGATAAGGCACAGACACATTGTGAGGCTTCTTGGTTTTTGCTCGAACCATGAGACGAATCTTCTTGTCTATGAGTACATGCCTAATGGTAGTCTTGGTGAGGTGTTGCACGGTAAGAAAGGTGGGCACTTGCATTGGGATACACGTTATAAGATTGCTCTTGAAGCTGCGAAAGGACTCTGTTATCTCCATCATGATTGTTCTCCGTTGATTGTTCATAGAGATGTTAAGTCGAATAACATTCTCCTTGATTCGAATTTTGAAGCTCATGTTGCTGACTTTGGTCTCGCTAAGTTCTTACAAGACTCTGGTGCTTCTGAATGTATGTCTGCTATCGCTGGTTCGTACGGTTACATCGCTCCAGGTAATAAAAATACGATCTTATGCTCTGTTTTGCTAATTTACTCTGTTTTGCCCTGTTTTGCTCTGTTTTGCTCTGTTTTGTTCTGTTTTGCTCTGTTTTGCTCTGTTTTGCTCTGTTTAAGCAGTATCTTTGTTGTTTGTTTGTGTAGAGTATGCTTACACATTGAAGGTAGATGAGAAGAGCGATGTATATAGCTTCGGTGTGGTGCTTCTAGAACTCGTCACGGGGAGAAAACCCGTTGGTGAGTTCGGAGACGGTGTAGATATCGTGCAATGGGTTCGTAAGATGACAGATTCGAACAAGGACTCTGTTCTCAAAGTGTTGGATCCGAGACTTTCTTCGATTCCTATTCACGAAGTGACGCACGTTTTCTACGTTGCTATGCTCTGTGTGGAAGAACAAGCCGTTGAGAGACCCACGATGAGAGAAGTCGTTCAGATTCTCACTGAAGTGCCGAAGATGCCACCGTCTAAGGATCAGCCAGAACTAACGACGGAGAATGAGCTCTCGCCTCAAGGTCCACCGGATCTTCTTATCTGAGTGTGTTCCGGTAGTTAAATTAGGGGTTCTGGTATGAGGGAAGAGTGTTCAAGTGGTTTAGTCCGGTTTGTGCTTTTGTCCGGTTAAGTGGTATTTTGTTTTGACTCTTTTGTTTTTTTAAAGTGTGTTTTATTTTCCTCGGCTTTCGCATTATCGTAATTCGGTTCGGTTTAGTTTGTATTAAATTATTAATGAAGGTGTACAGTTGGGTTAAATTTTGGTTAAATTTTTGTCTTGAAGATTGTGAATTTCAAATGTGTTGAAAATTGTTATGTCTAATGTGGAATACTCTCTTTGCATGTCTTGCTGTAGCGTCACGCATCTGCAAGTGATCTAGATGATCGTCTTGTTTTATTGTTTTGCGGTCTTGAGTTTTACTAAGAATCACAGTGGATAGATACTGAAACTTTTGAAAACCAAAGTTCAGATGAATCTCCATTATGATTGCGGTTGGATTTAGCTGTTTTTCATGAAGAATGATTAAAGTCTAAAAGAACAATGCATGTGAGAAAAAGTCGATAGAGATTTAAAAAACGTGGAGGGTGGAATAATGATTGGTTTCTGAGGTAAAATGTTAAGACAGTGAAAATGAAACCTATCTCACTCACCGAATTTTTTCCACATGCAAACTATCTATAATTGTAAGTCTTAAATGTTTTTTTTATGACATCTCCTTATCTAACTCTTTTCCCTTCTCATGAAGCAATTTCTAGTCCTGTGTGAAGCATTTATGAATTCTCCTAAGATCATAAATATAAGCCCCACCCAACTAACATTTAGTTTGTTTCATTTGTCTGTATGTGTAGTTTCCATTGATGATTGTAGATCTTATAGTTCGTCTAGGTTTTCTATCAGAAAAGTTGGGTCAAGCATACAAAATTTTAGGTAGTTGCTATTATGAAGTTTGCTGGCATCTTTATGAGTTAATTAATGGCTTAGTTGATGTGCTAACTATTTAAGTGAAAGCTTGGTAGGGGTTTCTCACGGCCGGGGTCCTATACATGATAGCTAGTAAGCAAATGCTAGCGCATTAGATTGTGATTTTGTTTACTCCAGTAATGGGGATGCCACACTTGCTAGTTATATACATAACTAATAGTAACGTAGTAGCCATTTAAAAAATATGGTAAACTATTTTCCGGAGAAAGAATGTGAAAATTCTGGTGACCACGCATTGTGATAATCTAAATCGTCATTTTAAAAGATCTATTAGTGTTTTACTATTTCCGTATGTATATACCCAAATGGTTTTGCTGGTCGATATCCTACTATTGTGATTTACCTGAATGCCAATTATAGTTCTTGTGTAGTCAAAAATAAAATAAAATTATAATCCTTGTCTTCGTAAAAACTATTGAGTGCATGGTTAGCATGGTTATACATGATTCTTTTCACTGTACCCAAGCACGTATGTGACTACTAGTACTGCAAAATATATTGTAAACAAAATATGAAGTTGAACACAAAAGATACTTTGTAAACAAGACAAAAACTAACAAAGTTACTTTTCTTTCCTTGATAGACACATCCACAATGCGTGTCTGATCACGATTTCATCACATAACAACAACTATCTCTACTATGCGCCATGGAAAATTCATGTTTGATGGATCACAGAGGTGTAAAAAGAATGAAGAAAAAGTTAATAGTGTCTTTTCATCTCAGCTTTATATTCTCACATTATGCGTAATTTCCGGAAAATGAATAATACAATATTACAAACTCTCTTATCTCAAAGAACTTTCCTATGTGACAACTCATAAGCACTGAAAATAAGACTCGATTTTTTTCTAATGGTTTAATTTACTCTACGCTACAGGCCTATCTATCGATTGTATATTCAATCCAACAGTTTTATTCGTATGTTTTAGACTTTTAGTGATGAAAATGCCACGTGGAATATATGATTGTGAAAAGACAGAGACACGTAGAAAAGAAAGAAACGAGTGCACTGTGTTTGAATGGGTCCGTTTTGTCATTTTCTTGGTTTCATTGTTTTCCCCGACACAGTTATGTCCCATCCCTCGTAGTTGCTAAGAGAATCCTTACACAGAGGTAAAGTACAAATAACAACATTTTACATAAGAGTAAAATAAATTAATCCGCTGATTTGATATGTGAATACCGTTTATAGAAACAAGTAAAATTTAATTTTTTGTATTACATTTTCAAAATATAGGCTAACATGTTGGTTACACTTGCCACACAAAAGAAAAAGAAAACTGAATCTTACCTGCTATCACTAGCACTATATATAAACACATATAATATAGTAATATTGACTAATTATGTAAGATCCATAATAATGATTAATGGCCTTACTTTTTGTGATACATTTACACTACTAGTGAATGTTGTGTTTACCCAAATCACTAGTTAATATTCTGTATATTTCTTCAATTACATGTTCATGGACTATGACTAGTTAAGTTTTTTTTTTTTTTTTTTTTTTGATAATCCAGTATCCGACCAGTAAGCGTGATCGACTAGCCCACCGGGCCTAAGCCCATGCCATTACAGGATTTTTTAAGCCTCCACTTAAGGGCCCCTGATTACGCGAAGTGGTCTGGAGGGCGAGAGCAGCCCATGTAAATACCCTCGTGGCCCGCACAAATGTTTGCAGCTGTGGGGATTCGAAGCCAGAGTATTGAGGCCGAAGCTCTCTCAGCTGGACATCGTCCTACCACTAGCCCACTAGTTAAGTTGAAATGTAATTAAGTTCGTACATACTGGTAATGAAATTGTCTGTTCGTGACATGTGACTGAAGGAAGTAAACTAAATGGAGTAAATAGTTAGTAGATGAAGTGATTCATGGTACGTAAGTTAGAATAATATATACTATATTTCATATCGCAACATATGTTGGGTAAAGGTTTGTCCTTATTATTGCAATATATATAGCGCATGTATTCATTTAAGTAAATCGAGAATACATTAAAAATTAACACAAAGTTCATCACTAATTTTCAAACGCGAATGAGATGAAACTAGATATTTCATGAGCAATACAATCACTATTGTACTTGATATTTCATGAGTAATATTGAACTTACTTATGTCTTATTATGACTGTAATATTGTTTTTTTTTTTGTAGGAAGTAGATGATTGTAATAAGAGGATTATCATCTCCCAAGTGAGCTATATGGGATAAATTAAGGTAAAGTTATAATGGTGAGGTGACGGTAGAAAGGACATAAAGAAGAAGATTAATTGGTTATGACCTACATGTCTTTTCTATTTGTCTACATACGTTTTTTAAAATTCAACGTAAGAGCAACGTTATTACAGGTTTTTTGTAGTTGTTTTTTAAAACACATATATGTATGTATATATATATATTATATATGCGTATATAATTGTGGGTTAAAGATTTTACGGAAAACGAAATAGAAAATCTCTTATTTAAGAAATTTTATATTTCATTTTCCGTAAAGTCTTTAACCCACAATTATATATGCATATATATATATATATATATATATATATATATATATATATTAAGAAGTAATAACCAACCATAAGAAACCATGCAATAATATTGCTTTAAGAAATGTGTGTCCATATGCTTCTAATACTTTTGAATTCTAAATACATGTATTCCAAAATTAGTTAGTTTAGTTAGCTGTAAAGTTCATTTGCCAGTTTACATACTTAGAACTAACAAATTATATTTGCATGAATTAACAAATACCTGTATTCTCTAACCCTGTGATTTTTTTTGTATGGTATAGGAACTTAGGAGTTAATCATCTCAGATGTAATTATTACTGACATTATAACGTTCTTGCACATGTGACATGCATATAAAGTAACTAACATCATTTTATAAGTTTACATACTCACATTCACAGTTTAAATACACTTGATCTAACGCTTGTTTCCTATGAAATATATATGTATGAAATGATCTTACTTTCTAAACTCTCTTCCATATTCGAATTAATAAATCAGTAAACCCTACAATTAGTACTACGACAAACACACACACTAAGTCACGTCTTTAGACTCGTACACCGTAGTCATTTATCTTTGGCAGTGAAGTAATGATCACATATTCGATATTTTACATTCATCAGCTACAAACTTTACCTTACTTATAATTACGAATCTATAACTTTAGCTTTCTTCTGTCTTTGGATTCCAATTTACACCACCAATTAGTAGCCTTCGGAAAGCAAAGACTCAGTCAACTTGACACGTGCATGGCCACACGTGTCTCATAAAAACATTCTTCACACCGCACGATAAATCTTAAAGCATCACGAGACTCATAATTATAATTATGAGTTCCCCTTCTTCTTTTTTCCTGCAATTATTTCCTTTTGCTGATTTTTCATCTGTATGTTAAAAAGAGAGATAGAGATCACACGAGAATGTACACATAAACCGAACAATATATATAGTGTGTGATTGTATTTCACTTTTAGAGTAACTTTTTACTCTACTTTTTCTATTTACTCCAAACTCCACTAAAAACATGCCAATCAAGCAAAATCCAATATTTTTATTTTTACTTCATTTACTATTTAGAAAGAGGGAAACACACACTCTCTTTTCCGCTATATTCTTACTAGAGTAACAAGATTTGACTCTTTTTTTTTCTCTTTAATTTTTTTTTTTGGTTTTCACCACATATATTGTTTATTCTATTTTTCTCTATTGGTATTATCCAAGCACACTTACATCAATGAACTTAGGCCAGAGTTTATAAAAGTGCTTTTTATTATTATTATTTTTATTTTTATTTTTCTGTTTGATTAATAAAAAGCGCACGTAGCGTGAGGTCCACTAAATAGTAATGATATCGGTTCATGGTAAAGACTCCCTACGACCTGAATTCATAACTTTTATAATATTTTAATATATATATTTTTAGAAAGTGTTTGAACTTCTCTTCATCAACTTTTGATGGGATGCTCTCATAGTGTGGTTTAACCATTACTAAAAAGTCTAAAAGTTTATGTTTGGGTAAGATGATCCCTTCAGGGCAACAAAGATTCAAAATATATACTAGGCCCAAAAATATAGGATATGATATTTGTTAACAACTTCGGAAGCTACATTAGGCCCATTACATATCTACGGGCCTAACAGGCCTAACAGGCCTTCTTCTCTTATATCATCTTCAATTTAGGGTTTAAGAGACGACCACGTCGCAACCGCCAGTGACGTCATCATCTTCACCTCCTGATAAGCATACCTTCTTCTTCCTCGCAACGACGAAGCAATCGAAGATAAGATAAGATAAGAGACGAGAATCAATCCGAATCTGACGTCTAGATTCAATGGCGTCTAAGATTATCTCATCCTTAATTCGCCGATCTCAGCACGGCGCTGTCTCCCGGCGCCTATCTACCGCCGCCGCGAAGGCGACGGAGTCCTACGCCGACGAATCATCGATCGTGATGAAAGGAGTGCGAATCTCAGGCCGACCTCTCTACCTCGACATGCAATCAACGACTCCTCTCGATCCCCGAGTCTTCGACGCGATGAACGCCTCCTCGATCCACGACTACGGCAATCCACACTCCCGCACTCACCTCTACGGCTGGGAAGCCGAGAACGCCGTCGAAACCGCCCGGATCCAAGTCGCGAACCTCATCGGCGCGTCTCCTAAAGAGATCGTGTTCGTCTCGGGCGCCACGGAGGCGAACAACACCGTCGTCAAAGGCGTGATGCACTTTTACAAGGATAAAAAGAGGCACGTGATCACCACGCAGACGGAGCATAAATGCGTTCTTGATTCCTGCAGGCATTTGCAGCAGGAAGGGTTCGATGTGACTTATTTGCCTGTTAAAACTGACGGTTTGATTGATTTAGTGATGCTTAGGGATGCGATTAGACCGGATACCGGTTTAGTTTCGGTTATGGCTGTGAATAATGAGATTGGCGTTGTGCAGCCTATGGAGGAGATTGGTGGGATTTGTAAGGAGTTTAAGGTTCCGTTTCATAGTGATGCAGCTCAAGCTATAGGGAAGATAGAGGTGGATGTTGAGAAGTGGAATGTTAGTTTTATGTCGATGAGTGGGCATAAGGTCTATGGACCTAAAGGTGTTGGAGCTATGTATGTTAGGAGGAGGCCGAGGGTGAGGTTGGAGCCGTTGATGAACGGTGGAGGGCAAGAGAGGGGGCTTAGGAGCGGGACGTTGGCGACGCAGCAGGTTGTTGGGTTTGGTGTTGCTTGTGAGTTGGCGAGGAAGGAGATGGAGTATGATGAGAAGTGGGTTAAGAGGTTGCAGGAGAGGTTGTTGAGTGGGGTTAGGGAGAGGCTTGATGGTGTTGTGGTGAATGGTTCGATGGAGAGTAGGTACGCGGGGAATTTGAATCTGTCGTTTGCTTATGTTGAAGGAGAGAGTCTTTTGATGGGTTTGAAGGAAGTTGCGGTGTCTAGTGGAAGTGCTTGTACGAGTGCGAGTTTGGAGCCGTCTTATGTGTTGAGAGCTTTGGGGGTTGATGAGGATATGGCTCACACTTCGATTAGGTTTGGGATTGGGAGGTTTACTACTGAGGAGGAGATTGATAGAGCGGTTGAGCTTACGGTTAAGCAGGTTGAGAAGTTGAGGGAGATGAGTCCGCTTTATGAGATGGTTAAAGAAGGTATTGATATCAAGAACATACAGTGGTCTCAACACTGATTCAGAAGTTTTCACTCAAACCTTGCGGTGTAAGAGAAGGGGGTCGTCTGTGCACGGCCGTGTTTGAGCCATGTGGAGATGTGTGTATGTATGACCGGGTGTTCTGGTCCTGAGTTCTTACTATGTTCTGTTGGTGATTTATATCTATATCTGGTTTGTAGATGTAGATTCAAAGTGAGAATGTGGTGTGATGGTATTGTAATAAGCAGAGCATAAACAATATGATTTTCTAGGTTTGATTGTTATTTCTTTGTATGATTTATTTCTAGGTAAGGGCTGTGATGATTGGTTTTCTGTTGTTTAGATTCTTGGTTGTTTGGTTTTGGTTGGTCTTTTGTATTGTTTTTTCTATCTTAGTTGCATCTTGATGTAAAACAGGTTTTTTGGAATGCAATTTAAAATTCTTTCAAAAAAAAAGAAGATTTATTTCTAGGTATTATGAACCTTTTAGCTTTGTAAGCTATATTAGCTTTTGTTTTCTGGATCAAAGCTATTAGCTGATTATCCATAGTACCAAAAGTAATACAAACTTTTTTTTTTCCTTTTAGAACATATACTGTTTGTTTTATCTTTATATTCATCAGATTAGATGCATTTTTGCAAAAACATGAAACTAAAGTTTAATAAGTGAACAGCAAACGTAAATTGAATATAGTTTAGACAGGGTCATTATTATAGGGGCCTATATATAAATGTTGTGAGTTTGAAGTAGACCAAAATACCATGTGATTTGGGATAAATCGTTTCTTTAGATCTACGCTCGACCTTTTGTAATTGTGAGGTAATTCAAAGCAAAAAATTATTCATGTTCAAAAAAAGATATTAGAAATAGAATAGTTTATTAGAACTTTTTTGAATTGCATGGAAACTAAAATGGAAAATGTTGAAAAAAAATATAACTGAAACGCACCAAAATCAGATGAGATCTCCATTGATGTTACAATGATGAAGACATTTGCTTTGTGGTATCTCTCCAGATTTACTATCATCTTTTTTGACTGAACTTTTACTCAGATTACTATCAGCTTGACATTTAACTATGTCTGTGACATTGCATCACGTCGAAGGTAGTTTAATAGACCAGTTACAAAAAAAGAAAAGATGATTTAAACTTTAAACTAACAAACTCTAATATGATCCGAAATATGTATAGATTTTCTTATGCTTTATTTATTTATCTAACTGGATAGAAACAAGTATTTGGTAGGTTAGAGGAGGCCCATGGGGAGACATGAATGGACACAAACCCTCATATTATAAATTCTCTACGTCAAAATAATTAGAACCATATGTTCTCTGTGTTACATACCACAACCATCATTTGATTGAGACATTATACTCTTTCAAGGTTATAAGCCACACGTTCATGTACATTTTCTTCCTAACTATTTCTTCGCATTGTTTCTTCTATAGACAAGGAATTGAAACATAATGTATTATAACTGCACGTTTTACATTAATCTCAAGGATGACTCTGAGTTTAATTTGTTATAAGAAAATGATCATCTGCAAAGGATGATGATTAATAACATTTGTTCTTCTTATAACATTGTATATTTTAGGCATCACAATGGGAAGTATATAGACTACTAGCTTAAGTTATTCAGTGATTTACATAGAATTTTATTGGCATTTTGCTAAGAATAAAAACTAGCAAGTGATTAATAAATGCGTGGGGGCAAGAAACTGCTTGCAATTAGCTGTGTGGAAAGCTAAACAATGTCTCCTTGTGTTCAATGCTACCACCATCCACGTCATCGTCCTGAATACTCAATTCCCATTGGTAACAAAAAAATTATGTATATAAATGGCATGCAGACTTATCATCCTCTTCTCAATTTAAAACAAACTCACAAGTAAATCACTAAACATTTTTTCCATCGTTATAAAGGCTCACCATGATGGCCGCAACTCTTTTTCTTTGCATTGTCACACTTTGTACGCTAATGTTCATCCAGATTACAGCCAGGCCTACGACATTCGCCGAGGATTTCAAAGCTGCATGGTCAGAATCTCACATTCGCCAAGTCGACGGTGGAAAAGCTATCCAACTTGTCCTTGACCAGAGCACTGGTAAACCAAACTAGACCACTTAAAACATGTTAAATAATACTGAGCTTTTATTTAAGAGACTCTCATATGCTTTATACTTGTTTTCTCAAAGGATGTGGATTCTCTTCCAAAAGAAAGTATCTATTCGGAAAAGTGAGCATGAAGATCAAACTAGTTCCTGGCGACTCTGCCGGTACGGTCACCGCCTTCTACGTAAGTTTTGTAACTTCACACATTTATAAGCATCCAAAACATAGTGTAATCACATGGTCTGTTCTGGACCAAGCCTGTTGAAACATTCGTCTCATACCTCCGAAAATGACTAATCATTCACATGTCTATAGATGAACTCGGATACCGACACCGTGAGGGATGAACTAGATTTTGAGTTCTTGGGAAACCGAAGTGGCCAACCTTACTCGGTGCAAACAAACATATTTGCTCATGGTAAAGGAGATAGAGAACAAAGAGTTAATCTTTGGTTTGATCCATCTTTGGATTTCCACACTTACAGTATCCTATGGTCACACAAACACATTGTGTAAGCTCCTCCCTCTCTCATTTTCACCATTAACAAAATGAAAAATGAAAGTACATTAACATGATAATTTTTTTAAGTTCTCACTAGCTAAAGTTTCATATACATTTGACGTGTATTTTTTTTCACCATTTAAATTTACTATCTAAAAAAACCATAGCTTAACGTGAGTATATTTTGGTTGATTAGTTTTTACGTGGACGACGTACCAATAAGAGAATACAAAAACAACCAAGCCAAGAACATAGCCTACCCAACATCACAACCCATGGGAGTTTACTCAACACTATGGGAAGCCGATGATTGGGCGACACGTGGAGGATTAGAGAAAATTGATTGGAGCAAAGCTCCTTTTTATGCTTATTACAAAGATTTCGATATCGAAGGGTGTCCTGTTCCTGGACCCGCCAACTGTCCATCGAACCCTCATAATTGGTGGGAAGGTTATGCTTTTCAGTCACTTAACGCCGTGGAAGCTCGACGTTACCGTTGGGTTAGAGTAAACCATATGGTATATGATTATTGTACCGACAAGTCAAGGTATCCGGTCCCACCAGTCGAGTGTCATGCTTGAAATAATACCATGTACAAAACCTACGTACAATGATCATGTTTCTTCTTGTACGTATTTATAATTGTGAGAAAATTTGGATTGTAATGTCTTTTTCTTATGCAAATTGTGCACATACGCAAGTACGTGATGTGTATAAAATATAATGGTAAGTCTATGTGGTTATTTTAAAGAAGAAAATGTTATGTGCCGACTTTTCTATGTGTCGTAAGGCATCGATCGTTTTGAAAGCAACTTTACGTACGTTATATTTATATTGTTTTGCAATTTACCCTATGTTTTTGATCTCCATTTACCACTATCAGAAACACGAACACAAGAACATGAAAAGAATACAACCTGTATAAATGTTACAATGATTTGTTGCACAAGACGATATTATTGGGTTGGCCATAATATATAGGCCCCATTTCCAACAGAGGCGTCAGATTCATTAAACCATAAGAAGAAAATGTCTAATCAAGTTCAGAACTTGTTGAAATTATGTGTAACTCATCGAGAAATGCCAAGAAAACCATTCGAAATTAATGGGAATTGATTTCATGTCCAATATTTCAACTTTCTGACTGAACTAGTTCCCATTCACTTATATTCTAACAAGTAAAATACCAATCTTCAAGAAAACGTTTGGTAGAGAGTACTAGTGACTAAAATGATTATTTGGGTTAACCAAGATGTTAATGAATTATTGATTTATTTTATATATACTTTATATTTACATAAACTATTTTAGTTTTTGAGTTTAATTATAAAGTTATTTTTGATGAACTAGCAAAATTAGATAGATAAAACAAAAGAAATTAGATATCTTTGTGAATTTTTACTAACACCTTTGTTTAATTTAATAGATTTAGACTACCTTAAATCGATTTAAACTGATTTTCATCAATTTAGAACACTTTAAATGGTCTAGACTGATATTTAGAATCATCAGTATACACTTTGTGTTTTGTTTCTAAACTAGTCTACTAGATCGAATGTTGTAATTTGTAGGTAGTCAAAGATAAACTCACGTTATACAAAACCACTTATTGTACTTTTATTTTGTAGGTTTTGATTGGTTTGGAAAGGTTAAGTTATTTCTTCTGAGTTCATAAGCACACCGACAGTACTACAACAGCTGGAGAAGAAGGCTTGTGGCCATGGAGAAAAAGGCAAGTGAAAATAGTTATTGCTTGAAGAAACTCCACATTGATGGTGATTGATAGATCACCATTGGAATTGAATGGCCAGAAGGAAAAAAAAAATGAGAGTACATCCAACATTTCTCACTGGAAAGCTACATGAGTTCTATCTTAAACAGTAGATAATATAAATAGTGAAAAAGGGAGTTTTGTCCTCACTACCCATCACTCATTGTACCAACTCTCACTTTATATCATGTTTCATTAGACCATTCAAAACCATAATTAAGAAGTATGGTTTTAAAGATTTGGGACTAAGAAACAGTTTCTTATATTTTCCTAAGAACGCTATCTTAAGAAAGATAATGATGCTCTAAGGTGGATTGGATTGTCTAATCTATTTTGTTCATGTTGTTGATTTTGACTGCAACAGGGTCTGAACAGTAAGGGCAGTTCCCAAAAAGAACATCAAATGACCTACAAGAAATTGAAATCATATATGAGCTTTCAGAGCATAAGACTTGCGTCTTGTCTATGTATGTAAGGTTTCTACTTACTGTCTTGTTGTTGTGATAGACCTTAACCAGTCTGTGAGGCAAAGGCTATGGAAAGACTTATTGCAACTAATGTTTTCGCATGTGTAGTCTGTTCTCGTCCCACTTCTAGCTCCGAGCTCCTCATCTTTTGTTCAAGAGTAAATGAGAAAGTCAATGAACTTTCAGCAAATGATTACTATGAAGGTTCAAGGAATCACCGGTTGGTAGAAACTGGGCATAGCAAATTCCGCATTCAACTTGCTGATGATCATCTTCCACTTGGAGGAGACCTGGAGGCTTAGGAAGCTCAGTACCTAGAATACATTCTAGATTCTCAGGAAATGATTTTTCCTTTGACCTGTGTGATGTCAAATTAGCTGTGATTAATGCTTTCACCAATCCACAAAGTTCAGTTTTGTTGAGAATAGACAAAAGGTTTACCATTTTTTGCTATTTCTTCTCCATAGCATATGCAAGTTGTTTATAGCTGGAGGCTCAGGACCAATAAACCGGCACCTGTCTAAGTAAGTAACACACTATTGAATAATGTCTTGAAAAAGAGGTTGATTTGACTGTGTGTTGGCTCGAATTACATACTCTGGAAGGGATTTAGGGTCGTTGAAGTTGATATGAGCAATGATATTGCAACCGTTCCCTGAAAACATTAAACCAATTACACAAACCAAAGTAAATTTTTTGCTATAACACAGAGCTAGAGAGTAAAGGTATTATTATCAAACCAGCATGAATCCGACGGATAGGAGAAGCACGAGATGGCTGCTTAGCATCAACAACACAAAGAAACTTGTCGATATCATCCAAGACAGACCAAAACTCTTGAAGACTATCCAAATGCTATTACGAACAACAACAACAAAAAAACAGAGATCAATGTCTTTTGCTGATTAGTGAATCACTAAGAGAGAATGTATGTACCTTTTGGAACTGGTGCATCACATCCTTCAGCCTTGAGCTTGCTGACCATTCCAAAGTAAACATGTATGGCACATCCTAAATAGACACACACACACACTAAGGTATAGAGATAGTGGAAACATTGAAAGAGAGAAACAAAAAAGCACAAACCGCGGAAAGGGAAGGTGGGGACTTGGGATAATCTCTATCAAGTTGAAGTTCTAACATGTGTGCTCTTCCCTTCTTATCTCTAAACATGTTCACAATACAATAAAACTAACATTAGAGAACCTTTATAGTAGCCAAACACAATACAATACACTAACCATAAAAAAATAAAATAATCACTATTAGGGACAAAGATCCCACATCCGTAGTTGGAAGATTGATTTTACCGATTGGTTTTAGGTTGGACGTTCATCTAGCTTAATATATTGTTTAAGATCTCTTCCAACTACCGATGCGAGATCTTTGTCCCTACCGATGTGGGATCTTTGTCCCTCATAATCACATCATCCACATTAAGCAACACTTAACTTATTACCGATTAGTTTTAGGTTGGACGTTCCTCTAACTTAATATATTGCTTAAGATCTTTTCCAACTACCGATGTGGGATCTTTGTCCCTAATAATCACATTATCAAGAGTTTGAAAGATTCTGGAACTTACAAAATGTGAAAGCTGAAAAATGTTAAATCTCCACCTAATCTCCTTAGTGACTCCCATCCAACTTCCTCTATCTACAACACAAATCATTCATAATCATCACCTAGAAAACTGAGTAATGTGGAGAAATCAAAAAGGCCATTTGATGAAAATGACTCACCTCCGAGTAAACTTTCCGGTAAAAGGAAGAAGATTTCGCTAGCTCCTCGCATCTCTCACGTCCTAGTGATTCCTTCATCATGATCGCAAACCCTAGATTACATTCTATTTCATGATTTCATCTTCAAGCTCTGTAAGTGTTCTTCAGTGTAAACGAATTAATGTTATAAGTTTGGGCCGAAAAGCCCAATAAGGCCCAGTTAGTTTTTTTCTTATCCGTGATAAGTATATACTTATACTTGTTACCAAACGTGGCTATTTTAAGGCGGTGCACTTTACTTTTCTTTCTTTCATTCTCTGTCACTTCACTGATGAGGCTTCTCCATCTTTGATCCAGGAGGTTCGTTTTCCCTTTCTCTCCTTCGTGCTGAATCTTCCTCCTTAATTTTGTTATATTAATTATTTTTTATGTTATGATTATACTCTCTAATGGTTAAATAACCCTAAAATGAAAATTGTTGAGAACCGATTTGTTATTTTTTTTTGTAACGATGATCTGAATGGATCAGATGTCTAATTAAATATTGAATGAAAGGTTGTTTTGGCTTCAGATTTCATTGTTTTCATCTACTTGCATGAGATATTATAATTAAATCGTTACTCGTTTTAGTAATTTTTGTTTTAACTTATAATACTTTCTTTTTATTGACTATTTTATTGTGTTGTTTAATGGATCTTTTTCAGGTTAAGACAAAAAACAAGATCGCTTAAAGCTATGGTTTGGTTTAAAACTGGTTCCTCTCTGGCAAAACTTGCCATAAGAAGAACACTCTCTCAGTCTCAGTACAGAACCAGGGTTCTGCCTTCACACACAAGATGTTTCCACTCCACACCACTCAAATCAAACGCTGCACCTGTCCCACGTCCCGTCCCACTCTCCAAACTCACAGACAGCTTCCTAGACGGCACAAGCAGCGTCTACCTCGAGGAGCTGCAACGAGCATGGGAAGCTGACCCCAACAGCGTTGACGAGTCCTGGGACAACTTCTTCAGAAACTTCGTGGGACAAGCCGCCACGTCACCTGGTATCTCAGGCCAAACCATTCAAGAAAGCATGCGTTTGTTGCTTCTCGTCAGAGCTTACCAGGTGAACGGCCACATGAAGGCTAAGCTTGACCCTTTGGGTTTGGAGGAAAGAGAGATCCCTGAGGATCTAACGCCTGGTTTGTATGGATTCACGGATGCGGATTTGGATAGAGAGTTCTTTCTTGGTGTGTGGAGGATGTCTGGGTTTTTATCTGAGAACAGGCCTGTTCAGACACTAAAGGCTATATTGTCGAGGCTTGAGCAGGCTTATTGTGGGACGATTGGGTATGAGTACATGCACATTGCTGATAGGGAGAAATGTAACTGGTTGAGGGATAAGATTGAGACGCCTACGCCAAGGCATTATAATAGTGAGAGGCGTGTTGTTATTTACGATAGGCTTACTTGGAGTACGCAGTTTGAGAATTTCTTGGCGACTAAGTGGACCACGGCGAAAAGGTTTGGACTTGAAGGTGCTGAGTCTTTGATCCCTGGGATGAAGGAGATGTTTGATAGAGCTGCTGATCTTGGAGTTGAGAATATAGTTATTGGTATGCCTCACAGGGGTAGACTTAATGTTTTGGGTAATGTTGTTAGGAAGCCTCTACGTCAGATCTTCAGTGAGTTTAGTGGTGGAACTAGGCCTGTAGATGAGCTTGGGCTTTACACTGGAACAGGTGATGTGAAATATCATTTGGGTACGTCTTATGATCGCCCAACAAGAGGAGGGAAGCATCTTCACTTGTCTTTGTTGGCAAACCCTAGTCACTTGGAAGCAGTGGATCCTGTCGTGATGGGTAAAACCAGAGCGAAACAGTATTACACTAAAGACGAGAACAGGACAAAGAACATGGGGATTTTGATCCATGGTGATGGTAGCTTTGCTGGACAAGGTGTGGTGTATGAGACTCTGCATCTTAGTGCACTTCCTAACTACTCTACCGGTGGGACAGTGCACATTGTTGTGAATAACCAAGTGGCTTTCACAACTGATCCTAGAGCAGGAAGGTCTTCACAGTATTGCACTGATGTTGCAAAGGCTTTAGATGCTCCGATTTTCCATGTGAATGCGGATGATATTGAAGCGGTGGTGCATGCATGTGAGCTTGCTGCCGAGTGGCGCCAGACTTTCCATTCTGATGTTGTTGTTGATTTAGTGTGTTACCGTCGCTTTGGGCATAACGAGATAGACGAACCTTCTTTCACACAACCAAAAATGTACAAGGTCTGGCTGTTTTATTGTCCATTTCTTTCTATGTTCCTTATGTGCTTCAAATTTTTCTTTACACGGACGTTACCTGTTATTATGTATAGGTGATACGCAGTCATCCATCGTCGCTTCAAATCTATCAAGAGAAGCTTTTGGAATCTGGACAGGTAACGAAAGAAGACATTGATAAGATTCAAAAGAAAGTGCTCTCTATCCTCAATGAAGAGTTTGAGGCAAGTAAAGAGTATATTCCACAAAAACGTGACTGGCTGGCAAGTCATTGGACTGGATTCAAGTCACCAGAGCAGATTTCTAGGATCCGTAACACTGGGTATAAACATTTACATTTTATTTAATTTGTCATTGCTTTTGACTTTTTCATTTGTAATATTCTACTGGGAAACTATCTTCTTCTGTTGCAGTGTGAAGCCAGAGATTTTGAAGGAGGTGGGAAAGGCAGTTTCAACCTATCCAGAGAACTTCAAGCCACACAGAGGAGTGAAAAGAGTTTATGAACAACGTGCTCAGATGATTGAGTCAGGAGAAGGCATTGACTGGGGACTTGGAGAAGCTCTTGCTTTTGCTACACTAGTTGTGGAAGGCAACCATGTTCGGCTAAGTGGTCAAGATGTTGAAAGAGGGACTTTCAGTCATCGACACTCAGTGCTTCACGATCAAGAAACCGGCGAGGAGTATTGTCCCTTGGATCACTTGACCATGAACCAAGACCCTGAAATGTTCACTGTCAGCAACAGGTATGATGTAGATCATTACCAGCTTTCAATTGTTTTTTACATGATCGTTTTTTTGTGGGTGTTTTGTTATGCAGCTCTCTTTCAGAGTTTGGTGTTCTCGGATTTGAACTTGGTTACTCGATGGAAAACCCCAATTCTCTGGTGATATGGGAGGCTCAGTTTGGAGACTTTGCTAATGGCGCACAAGTGATGTTTGATCAGTTCATTAGCAGTGGAGAAGCTAAATGGCTACGTCAAACCGGGCTAGTAGTTTTACTTCCTCATGGATATGATGGCCAAGGTCCTGAACATTCCAGTGGAAGATTAGAACGTTTCCTTCAGGTACTATATAACCAACGAGTGATGACACCATTAGGTTTCTTTTCACTAACCAATCCTACTGCAGATGAGTGATGACAATCCTTACGTTATCCCTGAGATGGATCCAACTCTTAGGAAGCAGATTCAAGAGTGTAATTGGCAGATTGTTAACGTTACTACACCTGCCAACTACTTCCATGTTCTGCGTCGCCAGGTAAAGAGATTGTTTACAAAAGATTTCTACTCTACTTGCTTGTTTCCCACACGCTTGACGTCATCCATTTGCAGATACACAGGGATTTCCGCAAGCCTCTGATAGTGATGGCTCCCAAGAACTTACTTCGTCACAAAAAGTGTGTATCTAACCTCTCGGAGTTCGATGATGTTAAAGGACATCCTGGGTTTGACAAGCAAGGAACCAGGTTTAAACGGTTGATTAAAGATCAAAGTGGTCACTCTGATCTTGAAGAAGGTATCAGACGTCTAGTCCTCTGCTCTGGGAAGGTGAAAAACAGTTCCACTCTTTAAAAAAAATCTCAGATTCTGTGACTTACTTGAGGATTTGTTGATCCCACCAGGTTTACTATGAGCTTGATGAAGAGAGACAAAAGTCTGGAACAAACGACATAGCCATTTGCAGAGTAGAGCAGCTTTGTCCATTCCCTTACGATCTCATTCAGAGAGAACTCAAGAGATATCCAAGTAAGCAGCCACTTCAAATATAGTAAAAAAAAAAAAGAAGAAACTTAAGATTGTGTTTTGATTCTTGTGTGGCTTTTTGTTTACAGATGCAGAGATTGTGTGGTGTCAAGAAGAGCCAATGAACATGGGAGGATATCAGTATATAGCACCAAGGCTTTGCACTGCCATGAAAGCACTTAACAGAGGAGGCTTCAACGATATCAAATACGTGGGGCGTCTTCCTTCTGCTGCTACAGCCACTGGCTTTTACCAGCTTCATGTTAAAGAGCAAACTGATCTTGTCCACAAAGCTCTTCACCCTAAACCCATCACCCCTCTACTCCCTTAAATGGCCCATTAAGGAGAAATAAATAACAGCTTGAGCTCTTGAAAGCCCATTAGAGTCTTTGGCTATCAAACTTGAAAAACACATGTTTGCTTGAGACTTTGAGAGTTTCATCTTAATTTGGTTTGAGTGTTTCCGGTTTAGTCCGGTTATTAGTAACAATAATGTAATAAAACATAAATAATTAGTTTGGTTGATTTTGTTTCGATTTCTGATTAATGATTTCGGTTTAATCCGGTTTAAACTGACAAGTGAACTGAAAAACACATGTTTGCTTCAGAGTTTCATTCCAATTTGGTTTGGATGTTGTTTAGTCCGGTTATCAATAAAAATAATGTAATCAAACATAAATAATTAGTTTGGTTGATTTTGGTTCGATTTCTGATTAATGATTTCGGTTTAATGATAAGTTTCGGTTTAGTCCGGTTTCAACTACCAGTGAACTAGTGACGGGTGGTTACAATCTTGTTAGAGGAAAAACTTCGAAAGCCGAGAGAAATGGCGAGCCATCTCCGATTGCTTCTGATCATCTCCTTCGTCTTCTCCACTTCATCGTCTCCGTCGCCACGTTTTCCTCGCCGGAATTTCCAGAACCGAGCCGGAAGCCAGCTGTTCCGGGGAGATCGGAACTCGTACCAATACGAGACTAAGTACTTCACACAGCAGCTTGATCACTTCAGCTTCGCCGATCTTCCGAAATTCTCGCAGCGTTACTTGATCAACTCCGATCACTGGACCGGTGCTTCTGAGCTCGGACCTATCTTCCTCTACTGCGGCAACGAAGGCGATAT